TGCAGATGTAGCCTGGCTCGTGAACGGTATCTTCTGGTCACTTTTTTAGGAATAGTTGTATTTGCTGCATTTTCAACATATATATGGTTTTGGGAGGAAATTTCCGCCACCCTACTCAAGCCATCATCTTGAGAATATCCTCTAGCTGCTTTTAATAGTCTGTCCTTATCCTTGATCTTTGCCATTTTAATTATTATGTCTTGGTGTGGTCTTTCTTGTGTCCCTTGTGTTGGGAGATCTGTACACCTCCATGACCTGAGGGACTATCTCTAACTTCCCCAGATTGGGTATATTTTCAGCAGTTACCTCCTCAAAGACAGTTTCTATCCCTTTTTCTCTCTCTTCTTCTTTTGGTACCCCTATAATATGAAAATTGTTCCATTTGTATTGGTCAGATGTTTCTCTTAATGTTCTTTTATTCCTAGATATCCTTTTTTCTCTTTGTGCCTCGGCTACTTTGTATTACTTTTTTCTAATTTCTATTTATTTTACCATCTCTTCTACTTCATCTAATCAGCTTTTAAGTCCCTTCATTGTATGTTTCATTTCAGATACTGTATTTTTCAAAGTTCATATCTCATTTGAACTCCTCCCTGAGTTCTTGAATATTTTTCTTACCTATGTGAGCATGTTGATGATTTTTATTTTGAAATCTTTTTCAGGTAGATTGGTGAGTTCATTTTCACTTGGCCCTCTTTCTGTTGATTGTGGGATTTTGGTTTGTACCAGGTCCTTTTGACTTTTCTTATTTGTAGTAATTACTTGGTATAGGTGGTACCCTCTAGTGCCAGAAACTCTACTCTCTGGAGCTGCCCAGCCCCTGGAATGATGGCAGGGTTCACAGGTGAGTGTTGCTGGTGCCTGCTGGGAGGAAAGAGCTCTTTCCTGCTCCCCTGCTGCAGTTCCTGCCTCCACTGTCAGGGCCAGTGGGCCGACTACACAGGGAAGAGTCTCTATCCTACATCCCTGTAGCTGCTGTAAGTACGTCCACCCTCTCGCTGGCCTGGCACAATGGTGGGGGCAGCAGTTTTGCCAGCCAGTGCTGCCCGGGAGGAATGAGTGGTAGGCTGTGTATTGTGGTGGGGTCTCAGAGCTGTGTTACCAGCTAGGGGATGGAGCTCCTGCAGCTCTTGAAAGTTCCCAACCTTCTGGGCTGAGTGCACTTGGACAATTTTGTCTGCTTGTCCTTTCTCCTAAGCAGCAAGCTCTGTGCAATCTTTACCCCTTTTGCATCCCTCTCCCTGTTAGGAGGTCTCTTAGAGTACCCACCTTTCTTTTGCCCCAGAGTGGTCAGTTGTGGGACACCTGTTCTCCACAAGCAGCTGGAATCTCAGTCTCTCCAAGTATTCTTCCTATCTTAGCTTTCCAACCCCACTAATGTCCAGAGCACCATGTAATGTTGGTTCATGCCCCCAGAGCGTATTGCCGGGGCTTGGTGTTCAGCAGTCCTAGGCCTCTACCTGCTCCCGGCTCTGTTTCTCTTCCTCCACAGGGGAACTGGGTTGGCAGAAGGGCTTGGGTCCCCCTGGATGGTGGCTTTGGTACTTTACCCTTTTCCATGAGGTCTGTTTTCCCCAGATGCAGGCAGGGTTTTGCAGCCTTCTTTCCTGTTGCTCTTTCAGGATTAGTTGTCTTTGCTATATTTTGATATCATATGTGGTTTTGGGAGGAGATTTTTGTCTCACATCTCACACAGCCATCTTTAAGCCCATATCCACTTGTGGTCACTTTTATCAACCAAAGATGTGTACCAAGCTTAGAAAACAATACTTCAGTTTTCTGACATTTGGCTTTCTGTCCTAAAATCCACTAAGAAAATGGATTTCTAGCCATTTAATCCATTAAATAATTAACTATGTAGCCAAGTATCCACACTCTATATAAATTTTTTATAATTTTACTTCCATTTCAGGTATTTAACTTGGTCCCCTTAGTTACTGACATATGAAAAAAAATCTCTGTGGTGTGAAATATTGTAGAGTAGGGCTTTTATTACAAACATCAACAAAGCATGATTAAGCAAAAATATACATTAGAGAGCCAGAGAGAGTGAGAGAAACCAACACAGAGCTTACAGCCAAAAAGTAGATGAGGTCTGAGAGGTAGACAGAAAGGGAAAAAGTGAAATTAATGCTAATAGGATAATAGCATAGATGTTTTCCTACCCATCTCTCTGTTTTATACTCTAGAGAATGTTTATTTATCGTATATCACAGCCAGTCTTTTACTTGGAACAATAAATGGTTAAATAGAATCTCATTTATATTTTCTGCTTTTGCTTCATTCCCAGAAAAAAAGCTTGAGTGAAAAGGAATGGAATGCCATTTTGAGTTGGTGTAGACTAGGGAAAGAGACTGTGCTTACATCAATTACCCTTTAACCAGTCACATTCAAGCAACTCCCAGAAGACTTATTTCTGTCCATCAGGCCCCATATTCTGTTACTAAGATTTCTAAACCTATCTAAAATGCCCAGCTTTTTTGTTCTCTGGTCTCTTTAGCTTTTTATTAAATGATTTTTCTGTTTTATCATGAATTTGAATAACAAAATACTTTCTATATTTTGACATTTCTTAGTTAACTTAAGGAAGTAATTGGTAGTCTTACAGTGAGAATGTTTCCTAAGCTTTTCATTTTAATCATGAAAACTCCTTGATCAAGCCTATTGGGAGGATATACCCATTAGGTCATTTTACTGGCAAAAACTTTTCTGTAATCAAACCATGAACGATAGCTTTCATAGCAGGTATATTTGGTTATACATATTCTTAATTATTAATTTTCTAAATATTTAAAAAAAAATGGGGTTTCAAAAATAGATTGGCCTATTCATTATAGAACTAGTAATAGAGGTTTAAAAAGTATAGGAATTAAAAATATATTTAAAAAATTAAATAAAAATTTAATTTTTTTTCCCTATTAAAGAGTAGAGGCTATAAGTAGCTATGAGTAATTTGGATCTTTCTACTTGTTGGGTGAATAAACTAGTCGATCAAGTTGGGCCTTGTGACTTCTAATCAGAAACATGTGACTATCAATTAATGAGGATTATTTTCTCACTTATAAACTGGCACTGAAGGAAAAGTTTAAAAACTTTCTGAATTCTTTGTGCGATAGTAGCATCATTCACATAGAATAACTATATAGCGTCCCAAGGCAAATACTTAATAATTAATATTTTTGAGCTATGTGAGTATGAGCAAGGAACTGAAATAGGTAACCTGTAAGAACCCTTCAAATTAATTTCCATTACATCCTCTCCATTTTCCCCATTCTCTGCTGCACTCAAACTAGCTAATTTTATTTTAGGTAATTATTTTCTTACACAGAAGCATATATCATAATTACTTTTCTCATTTCCCACACTTACATAGTTATTCAAGGAAAATTTCTCCGTCCTTCAGTTCTTGTCTTTCTTCAGTTTTTGCCCCTCTTTTTTTTTTTTTTACCTCTTTTTTTATTCCTTCTTTTTTAGTATTAAAATGCTGGTATTAGAAACAGCATGAAGGTAGAGACCCAACTTGAAGTGCAGTGCTGCCACCTTTACTAGCTGTGTACCACTGAGTACATTACTTAACTTCTCTCAGCTTCAACTTCTTAATCAGGGTTAGATATATAGGAATCATATTATTGTGAGAATTAAATAATGCAGTATTCCTAAGACACCTAACAGTCTGTAGCACAGAGTTTATGCTTAATACTAACATGTCCCTTCCTCTTGAATCCTTGTCCTCTTGAATCCTCTTGAATCCTATGAAATCTTTTAAACAATTGTGAATATTATACTTAAAATAATTCCTACCAGTGTCATACTTGCAACAAACAAATGGAATAACACAAATATGGAGGTTTTTAGATAATTAAGAACCATACTAACTTCCAAAATCTTAAAAGTACCCATAATTTCTTTTTAAATTTTCTTTAAGTGCCATATCTCAGAATGCAATTAACAACTATTTGTTAGATCCAATAATTTTTAAAAAGTGAGCTTCAGTGTTACAGTTAATAAATTAGGGTTTTTTTTTAATTTGTACTTTTTTACCAACCTGTCCAGTGAGCTTCAGTGTTACAGTTAATAAATTAGGGTTTTTTTTTTAATTTGTATTTTTTTTACCAACCTGTCCTTATCTCCCCCAACCCTACCCTCTTGGCAACCACTTTCTACTCTGTTTCTATGAGTTCAACTTTTCTTTTTTTGGATTCCACATATAAGTGATACCATGCAGTGTTTGTCTTTCTCTTTCTGACTTAATTTCACGTAGCATAATGCCCCCTAGGTTCATCTGTGTTGTCATAGATGGAAGAATTTCCTTATTTTTTAAGGCTGAACAACATACACATACCATATATTCTTTATCCATTCAACTGTCAGTGGACACATGTGTTGTTCCTACACCTTGGTTATTGTGAATAATGCTGCAATGAATATGGGAGTATACATTCCTCTTTGAGATACTGATTCTGTTTCCTTTGGATATAACCCAGAAGTAGAGTTGCTGGGTCATATGATAATTCTATTTTTAATTTTTTGAGGAGCCTCCATACTGTTTTCCATAGTGGATGTACCAATTTATATTCCCACCAGCAGTGCACAAGGGCTCCCTTTCTTCCAGATCCTTGCCAGCATTTGTTGTCTGTCTTTCTGGTAATAGACATTTTAATATGTATGAGGTGATATCTCCTTGTGGTTTAGATTTGTGCACCATAGTTACATTGATGCTGAGTACCTTTTCACGTACTGTTGGCCATCTGTCTGTCTTCTTTTGCAAAATGTCTCTTCAGGTCCTTTGCAGTTTTTAATTGAGATTTTGTTCTTTTGCTGTTATAAAATTAGGTGTTATAGTTTCAAAGAAAGATAGTCTTTACTTCTTAAAGATGGTTTTCAAGTAATGATATTATGAAAATATTTTGATATCTGTAGCTTCAAAATAGTAAACTATTTAAGAGTTTTTTTATGCTAATGGGAATAACTCTCAATTTTGTGGTATTTTTTAAAAATAGGTTACAGAAACATGCACATTCCATAAGAGATTCAAAACTGAGAGGTAGGTTTAGAGATAATTTCCAAATACCATTTTCAGCTATAGTTAAAAGCAATCAATTACTGATGAAATATTTAACAGGACATAACAAATGATATATTTCTATTACAGATATCTTAATACATGGTGTTGCTTATCATCATGCTGGTATGGAGCTGTCAGATAGAAAAGTAGTTGAAGGAACTTTTGCTGTTGGAGATCTACCAGTCCTTTGTAAGTAAAGCCTATCCTTGTTTATATTATAAGAAGATATTTAGGAAAATTATTTTTAAGAGGAAATAAAGAGAAAGCTCAAGAGTGGTGACTTATTTCTGCTTTTCTTCCAAGAATCTAAAGTAACAACCCATGTATATATATAATACATATATATGCATATTATATATATATACACCATAATAAACTCTTCCATGATTTTAGTTCTTTAGCATGTTACCATAGTGCAATTTGCAAAGTAAGAATTGAATAGTTTTTTGGTTTTAATATGTGTTATTATTTTACACTGTAATGTTCTTTTCTTTTTTCCCCTAATTCCCTATATATGAGTTTTTATGACATTATAAGACTGTATCTTTATAAGAAGATGTCTACCTGAAACAATAAAGCTATATGGTTGGAAAGTAATATTCCTTAATCTGATGCAGTTACTACCAGTACTTTATCTATGGGAGTAAATTTGCCTGCTCATCTAGTAGTTATAAAATCTACAATGCATTATTCTGGAGGAATGTTTGAAGAGTACAGTGAAACAGATATTCTACAAATGATTGGTAGAGCTGGTCGACCTCAAGTAAGTGACAGTATTTTACTTTTTTAACTTATTTTAAACTAAAGGTAAAAACCAAAAAACCTTTTTGTATATTTTTTGTAAAACAAAAGATTAACATTCCATATTTAGATTTGATTTAAAAATAAATGTAACCGAGAAAATCTACTTTAATGGAGGAATAGAAGTAAAACAAGTCTCATCAAAGAAGACATTTACTTTACTTCCTCCAAATTCTCATTGGTTGATGAATAGGTTGGGTTTATGAATGTGTACACTGTTAAAGCCTTTTTTGGTTCTGAGTTGTGTTTGTTTTGTTTTTTATTCTGAATGGGGTGCTATTGGCACTTTGGATGGGACAGTTTTTCACTATCCTAGCACAAATGTCAATAGTGGTCCCCAGGTATTGTGACAACTAAAAATCAGCCCATACACAGAACATGCCTACATGACCAATATTCATATAGGTACTCAGGGAATATTTAGGAAGAGTATCTTTTCAGAGGATGTCAAAATATTATGTTACACAATAGTAAAGTAGATTATATGTAAACTACATCAAATCTTAAAACTTGTATACAGTTACCTAAGTTTGTTTTGATTTTATACTGCCAAAATTATGTTGCAGTGAAACCAAAGTGATATATTTACATCTATACTCTTGGTAGATTTTTAAGTTAAATTTTCATTTAGCATTCAAATTCAGAAACATTTTTAAAGCCATTTTGACCCATTGTTTAAGACAACAGGGTGTTTAATATAAAATGAGTCTTGAGTCATTGAAGAGGACTGGTATCGACATATGCTCTTCTTTACTAAATTTCTCTGTGTGTGTGTGTTTTTTCTTCCCCCCTAGTTTGACACTACAGCTACTGCAGTTATTATGACTCGGTTAAGTACAAAAGAGAAGTATATTCAGATGTTAGCTTGTAGTGACACTGTAGAAAGCAGGTAATACAGCAAATATTATTAAAAAATGATGTTAATATAGCCTATACTCTTCCTTTTAACATATTAAATGGAAATTTGGTTAAGGGATTTTTTAACATAATTTTCTTGAAAATTTTCAATATTCTAACTAGAAAGTTTATATCCTTTTGAGAAATTTAATGTTAAGAAAAAAGCACCATAATATTTTTATTCAACAGTTTCTTAGCATGTGGTAGGACGTATCCTTATCTTAAAAGCCCAAATTAGTAACAAGAAGAGGACTATAATTTTCACATCTCTTTGCATCTTTGAATTTTGTTTAATAATAGAGAGATTGGCAATCTGGGACCTTTTAGTAAAGTATTTGATTATAATACTCATGGAGAAAATAGGGTACAATTCATACTCCCTTTTATTGAAGCAATAGTGTCTTCTAGAACCATGGAGTAGAAACAAATCTGTAATACTTTAAAATTTTGAACTGAGTTTTTAAGGTTTTCTCTTGTATTTTTAAAAATTAATCTATCTTTCATGAATTATTAAAGTAGCAATGTGTATATTATTTAACTGTTGTATTACTCAAAATATTATTGAAGTTTTAAAAAGTAAGAGTTATGACATTGAAATACATATGACTAATGCAGTGGATTTTTTCCCTATTAGTTTGCACCGACATCTTATTGAGCATTTAAATGCAGAGATAGTACTGAATACTATCACAGATGTGAATATTGCTTTGGAATGGATACGATCAACTTTGCTTTATATCAGAGCCTTGAAAAATCCATCACATTATGGTTTGTTACTTTTTATTTGTAAAAGTAGTAATTTTGCAATCAGTTGGCCTGTATTTATACTAACAGGCCACAAAATAGATTACTGAGACTAATAGGTAACAGAAACAAACAAAAAAAACCAACAGTCACAAATACATTTAAAGGCAAGTATAGACAAATGTGAGAAATTTTTGTTGTTTTACTTCTAGTCTTTCAATAAAGTTTGAAATCAGCATCATTAAAAATAGGCCTTTTGGGAAAAAGTCTAACTCAAATAAATAAAAAAAATACCCAAAATAATTTAAAATAAATTAAAGTAAAAAAAAAATCCTTGAATTTTGTCTGAACTAGTGTTCAAATAAAAATATACAGTACTACTATTGCTGCTGGAATTTTCATCCTGCCTCTTGAGCTAACACACACCTCATTATGTTGCTTCTAGAGGGTTCTTTCATATGGTGCAGGTTATACAGTAAAAAAATACTTGGGATTACTGAATATCAAGTTAAAACCTGACTTGTTGGAACCATTCTAATGTACACAGGCTCAAAACTTTCATCTCTCCAAGGGAAAAAAAATTATGTAACAGTATTCCTGGTTATGGTTATTCAAAAAGATAAGCCAAAGATAACCACTTGATATTGAAAAGATTTCACAATGTTGACTGTATACATGGTTAAGCCTTGTTTTAACTCATTAAGCTATTTTTTCCTATTTAAGATTTAATTTGATTACTCTTTTCCAGTTAACTGGGGTATAAATGGAGCCTATAAAGATGAATTAAGTCCATTCTATTTTTTTAAATACATTTTCATAATTTATACAGGTTTTGCATCTGGATTGAACAAAGATGGAATTGAGGCAAAATTACAAGGTTAGATGCATTTCCTTCTAAAAAATTATATTTCATAAGTTTTAATGGAAAAGGTCAGTTATTATAAAAGTAAGAATACTCTTGTAATTTTTTTTAAGGAACTTATTTCTTGCAGAAAAAAATATGAGTAACTTCTTTTTTACATGTAAATAAAGCTTGGTATGTGTATTTCTGAATTAATCTGTTTATTAATTCTATCATAATATTTGTATAATATGTCAACTTGGTTTATTTTCTTATTTTAAAAATGACTCTGGTCTTTGAAAAACTGCCTATAGATAACAACTCTATTTTTCTTTTCTAGTTTAATTTTAATTGACAATATAAGCCTAGTTGGTTATGGGCTTCTTATCCTAATTTGCTAATGATGGATTCCTATAAAATCTCAGCTTTATTCTTCAGCTAATCACTAACAATTTCACTACTTATCTTTTAAAATATCAAAAGATTGTTGATTATTTATTATGATTGGAAACTGCTTCCTCTTCATTATATTGAGACTCTTTTCCAGTAAAAGAAAAAATGTTAGATCCACTAAAACTATTTAGCCAATTTTAATTTATTCTACTTGGATATACATGTATGGCAAATAAAAATGTGGAGATAAGGATAAAGCAGTGAAATCGTCTTGCTTAAAGAAGAAATATATTGTTGAAGCATGGTAATAATCAATAGCATATATTCTTAATGCTGTTGTTGAGAAACAGATCTATAAAATAGTTATATTATTTTTTATTTACTGATCAATTTTGTAATGGAGTTTTTAAAGCATAGATTTAGATTATAATGACCAAATACACAGAAAAAAATCAGACAGTCCAAGATACCTCTTGCAAAAGTATGTAAATGCAATGAAGTATTCATAATAAAAATTTTTTTAATCAAAAAAAGATATCTCTTGCTATATTCTGATAGTTGTAATGATTTAACCTTTGTTTAATTAGCAGAATGACAGTTCATATTTGCCTTATCTTCAGTCATTATAGAGTAGCTAAGTTTTGCCTATAAAGAATAGCCGAAGTTTTGAATCCTTGGAGGTCTACCTTCAATCTCTTAGGAAAGGTCCTTAGCATAAAATATGCTGTTCCCTAAATTTGGTGATACTGTCTTTTCAGTATTCTCCAGTATCAGTTCCATCACTCTGAGAATAAAATGCAAACTTTCACCAGTGCCACAAAGTGCTACTTGGTATCTCCCCGCCTATTTCTGTGACTTCTTTTCTTGTCACTTTCCCCTTCTTTTATTCCACTTTCTCGAAATTGGATCTTTTGCTGTGCATTAAACACACCAAACTTGTTCCCAGATAAGGTCTTTGCAGTCTCTGTGTCTTATTATTGGAACATTTCTTGTGTATTTTACATGGCTTGTGCCTCCATTTCATTCAGGCCTTTGTTCATGTATCATTTCCTCAGAGAGGCCATCCTGGACTTTATTTAAACTCACCTTTACAGAGAGGAAGGCAAAACAGTTTCCATGTTGTTATTGCTGTTTTCCTATTCTTGGAGAGGTGATGTGTCTAAGTTGAAAATTAGGATAACTATAGCCTTACTTTATTTCAGAAATTACGTAGTTTTATATCAGAAATACACATTAGCTTTAGTTAAAAGCTTAAAAAGCTCCATCATTCTCCAGGTCCTTTCTCAGCTTTATTTTACTTCATAGTACCTTTCAATACCTGAAACTATATTATTTATTATTTTTTATGTATTGATTGCTTTCTGCAGTAAAATAGAAGTTCTATAGAGGAAAAACCTTATCTTGCTCAGTGCTGTAAACCTAAAGCTTGTAATAGCGCTCAGCATATAGTAAGCATTCTTCTTCTGATGAACCTAACTGAATGCTAATTTAGTAGTGATTAATTAAGAAAATTACCAAAGACTTCAAAAGCCTTACTTAATTGAACTCTTAAAACTTTAAAGCTGCCTAAGCATTGTGGCTAAAACTAAAGTATTTCCCAAAGAACTTGCTTTCTAAGGGCCGTGTTTTTGCGAGCTGCTAACTCCATATAAGACTGAACAGGTTTTGGTATTCCTCCTCTGCTCTGAACTACCTCCAATCTCCTGGGCTTTATAGCGCAGAACAGAGTGAGCACTGCAAACAGCAGGCTCTACGCTCCCTCAGTCAGAGGGAACTTGCATTGCTTCCAATTCAAAGGATTCCTTCCAAGTAGCAATAGTGCCACACTAGAGATTAGAGATGCTGAAGTAAATACTAAAAGCATTTGCAAAAATTGTGCAAGTAGTTGTCTCAAGAGAGTGAGAAACTCAGAGGAGGGAAAAGACTGGTGATATTTTGGAACAATCTTTGTAGAATTTATGACTCTTTATACTTTGTGTATACCTTTGATAAAACATTTTTTAAAAAGAAAAGAAAAAGAAAACCACTGCCATTTTGGAAGTCAGCTAGCAAAATGTTTATGCAGACCTGAAGCAAGTTACTTAGCCTCCCTATTCTTTAGTTTCCTTTTATATGAAATAATATTAATACCTACCTAATTGTGTTATTTTGTGGATTAAATGAATACAAATATATCATTTTAAATCTCCAAGTTGTAGATGTTACCACTTATTGAGTGTAATTTTTATTATTTGTATTATTGCTACTATTAGAAAATCTTTTTTAGCATATTAGTCAGTTCTTTTATTTAAATAAGTTTTTTCTTGCCACTTAAGTAGGGCTTACATTTCTTCCCAGACAATACACAGATACACAACTTTATCATATTTAAAAATAAATTCTACTTTTTGTTGCTTCCTTATTTTACTAAAATAAAATGTTTTCTATAATTGAACAGAATTATGTTTGAAGAATCTAAATGATTTGTCATCTCTGGACTTGATAAAGATGGATGAAGATGTTAATTTCAAACCAACTGGTAATTTTTCCATTGTTGTTAGTAAATTTAACAATGCTTACTTAAGACTAGATTTAAAAATCTGTTCCACTAAAACTTAGATAATGGTAAAATTAAATTGTGATCTCAATTCTCAATGGGGTATCATCATTATTTGGATGACAAATTTATCAGAGTCCTACTTATAAAAGTAAATAGCTTCTTTTCAACAGGCACAAACTTTGTTTCTACTGTTTGAGATGATTTTCAGCAGAAAATTGAAATGCTCAAATCTTACTTCAAGCCTGTTATAACTATTATAAATACCCTTTTGTCAGTTCTTAATTATTGAAACATTGATTATCCAAATAGTTACTTAGGCTCCTTTTCTCTCTCTCTCTTTCTCTGTCTCTGTCTCCCTTTCATTCTGTTTAGACAGAGTATAATAGAAAAGAGAAAGAAGGTTTTGTAGTTTTTTGCACCCATGATTACAAGTTTCCTGAGGGAAAATATTGACTACATTAAGCCTTTTCAGAAAAGATGCTTTATGAAAGTTGAAAAGTATAGAAATTTTTTTAAAAAAATCAGAATATGACTATTTCTTAACATTTGGCATGTATCCTTTCATTTTTTTAAAGTATTTTTTACATGTTTGCAATCATACTATAGAAATACATGATTTTGTATTATGTTTTTATTTGTATTTAATAGAAGGCTAAGTTTTTAAAACAGTTTACTGCTCTGACTCTCAGTTCTAGATTTATAATATTTTTCCCCCTCTCCCATGATTCTTATTCTGATAAATCTAATTTTGTTTGTGGAAATTACCCTCTGTGTATTCTAGGGTGTCTTGCTAGAAGGGGGTATGAGAATCACTACTGTAACTTCATCTGTTTAGATACTTTCACTCTCAGAAACCTTATTCTCACTATCTTTCCCTCCCTGTGGAACTTCTTGAATCCACTTATACCATTCCTTCTGCTTTTAAAGATGCCTAATAAATTATCTATGCAACATTTTCCCCCTCTTTCTCCATCATCAGTGAGTACTACCTGATTAATTTTCTTCATATTGTTTTGGTTCTCCTGCTTCTTCAATCAATCTCTATTTGCTGATGTTTTTTTGCTTTACTATGAAATTCTTAAAGTTGTAGACCTTGGACCTTTATTCTCCCAGCTTATGATCATTTCTTTGAAAACAATTGATCTTCACAGCTTCAGCTATAGTCATTATATAAATGAATTCAAAATTACCGTTGTGATCCTGGTCTGTCACCTTCATCACAAAATTTTATCCTCAATTTTCTATTTGAAGTCTTTACTTACATATATGACATGAAGCTTAACACACAGAAGCATATAACAGTTAATTTGACCTGGAATACTGTGAAATGGAATGAACATAAAATTTGGGTTCCAAATACCTGAATTTCAGCCCCAGTACCACTTGTTAGCTGAGTGTTAGCTGTAACCACTTGTTAGATGCTTACTTACTCTTAGTTTATTCTCTGAAAAACAGGAATATATTACATGACCTACTTACCTTATTTGGTTGTTATGATGATCAAATGGGATAATGAATGTAAAAACATTTTACTATAAGCATGAGTTGTTGCTCTCTTTTCCAAGGTTAGGAAAATATATTTCTATTTGCCTACTCTCAGTAGCATTACCATTTTGCCAAGTCTAAGATTATAAAATATTTTATATATTTGGTTTCTCTTTCAGTCCTTAGTAATTCCAATGTTATTATAAAATATTTTATATCTTTGGTTTCTTTTTCATTCCTTAGTAATTCCATGTCCAGGCAGTCATCAGACAGAGGTATACATATTCCTTATCACATACTAGGGTATCAGTGAATAGAAAATATATATTGGTTTCTGCCCATGGTTCCTGGCACAAATCTAAAACCCTTGTAATTTCTTAAGTGGTAATATTACCAGAGATGGGTCCTTGGTCTTGTTGCAAGGAAGAATTCAAGAATGGGCACAAAAAAAGTGGTTGAGCATTAAGGGTTTATTTGGAAAATAAGATTAAAAGACAGAGACAGAGTATACACCTGAGAGTTGGGGTGTGGGCAGATCAGAGGAGATGTGCTGAAGGAACAATAGGGGGCCCTTTTTATGTTTATGTAAAGGGAGATGAATATTCACTAAGTGGTAGGTTTCAGAGGGAACAGAGTTTTTTCAGAGTTTGTGTTTGCTCCACCCTCACATCAGGCAGAAGGATTTTTGGCTTTATTTGGTTTCCATTGGAACTGTCATGGCACGGGGAGGTGTGATTTTTACTATTATTAATGAGTGTATAATGTATTTGGGGGTGAAGTTTTTGGATCAGCTTCTCCTCTATGTTGGAGCTAGCTGGTTTGGGCCAGTCTTTTATCTATATTCTATCTCCCGTCATCCTGCAAGAACAGCTTACATGGAATGTGTAGAACGTAAGCAAGCATCCTGTTGAATGTAATCACCACTCCCTGCTCATGATTGGCTATCTACTTATTATCACAATAAGTACACTAGGAGTGTCTCATGTTTTAATATTTGTTCTTTGACTCTGTCCCTGACACAGGGCTCTAAAATGCTTGTAAATTTCCAAGTGATAAGGGCACTTGGAGCATTTTTGTGCTGTTGAGGCAGGCTCCTGAATGACTCTTGGATGGGGGCTGGTCACCAGAAAGACCAAGCGATGATTGGAAGTTTAGAGTTTTTAGCTCTATCCCCCACTTCTCCTGAGAGAGGAGAGAGGTGGGAAATGCAGTTAATAAATGATCATGGCTATGTGGTGCAGATTCCAGTCTAAAAGCTGGCAGTCTTGAGACACAAGGAAAGATAATGCTTCAGTTCTAATCTGCAAAGGCAGGAGAAGACCTAGCTCAAGTCAGTCCTGCAGGAGGAATTCCTTCTTGCAAGAGAGCCTTTCATTTCTATTCAGGCCTTCAACTGGTTAGATGAGGGCCAATCCACATTAAGAAGAGCAATCTGCTTTAGTCAGCTTACCAATTCAAATATTAATCTCATCCAAACACATCCGCACAGACACACCCAGAATATCTGACCAAATATCTGGGCAGCCTGTGGCCCAGTTAAGTTGGCATATAAAATAAATCATCATAGCAGCTTAACATAAAATACACAAATCTAGCTGAACATAGCCAAATTCTTAGAGAAATACAGTACTGTACAGGATACCCTTTTACCTGACCCTCCTCTAGGCCCAGATTGACCATTTGTCTGCCTTTAAAGTACATATTATGCAATGCCCAGTCTTGAGACATTTTATTTTTGTGGTTTAATTACTCAATAGCCTCAACTATTGTTACACCCTACATCATTAAGCTACTCTAAAAAGAACCACACAAAGTGATATATATATATCTATGTATAACTTTATGATGAATTTTGCATGTCTTTTAAATGCATGCTAGTATTTTTATAAGGATTGTTATTTAGGTTAGTGTTTTGTTATAAGGTTGTATGGAATTTTTAGTTGTTTGCTTCAAAACTTTTTTCCATAAGCCATGCTATTTTCAGTATGCAGTTTTTTAGAATGCAAGATTTTATAGCATGCATATGCTGTGTATTTACAGAAAATATTTATGTAAATGTACAGGAATACTATATATTTATTTAAGGCTAAGAATTTTTGTTAGTTTAGATTTGTACTGTTTTCATTATCAATCAGTTTGTTACATTTTCTACTTTCCATTGTGATTTCTTCTTTGGCCTATGGATTGTTTAGAACTATAGTTCTTAATTTCTAAATAGTGATTTCCTAGTTAATTTTTTTTAGCTTGTTTTGTTTTTTGAGGTATAATTGACATGCAACATTATATTAGTTTCAGCTGTGCAACATAATGATTTGACAGTTGTATATGTTGCAAAATGATCACCATAATAAGTCTAGGTAACATCAATTACCATATATAGTTATAGATTTCTTTGTTCTTGTGATGAGAACTTTTAAGATGTACTTTTTTTTTAGCAACTTTCAATTATGTAGTACTGTTTTATTAACTATAGTTACCATGCTGTACATTACATCATCATGACTTAATTTATTTTATAATTAGAAGTTTGTACTTTTTGACCACCCATTTTGCCAACCTCCCCACGACCAACCACCTCTGGCAGCCACCAATCCATTCTCCACATCTATGAGCTTAGGTTTGTGTGTGTGAGTGTGTGTGTATTTGTTTTTAGAATACACATATAAGTGAGATCATACAGTATTTTTTTTTCTCTGACTTACTTCACGTAGTATAATGACCTCAAGGTCCACCCATGGTGTCACAAATGGCAAGATTTCATTCTTTTTTTTATGGCTGAATGGTATTCCATTACATACATACATATAGATAGATAGATAGATAGATAGATAGATAGATAGATAGATAGATAGATAGATAGATAGATGATAGACAGTTAACTTAAATTCCATATCTTGGCTATTATAAATAATGCTATAGTGAACATGGGTGCATATATCTTTTTGAGTTAGTGTTTTCATTTTCTTTGTATAAATAACCCAGAAGCGGAATTGCTGGGTCATATGTAGTTCTATTTTTATTTTTTGGGGGGAACCTCCAAACAGTTTTATATAGTGGCTATACCAGCTTATTTTCACCAACAGTACAAAAGGGTTCCTTTTCTCCACATCCTAGTCAACACTTGTTATTGCTAGTCTTTTTGATAATAGCCATTCTAACACGTGTAGGTGATATGTTGTTGTTCCTGATATTTGATACAGTTGCTTGTGATCAGAGAACATTTTCCATGAGATTCTGATCTTCTGAAATTTGCGGAAACTTGTTTGATGACCCAGTAGGTGGTCAGTTTTTATAAATATTTTGTGTTTATCCCTTTTGTTGTAAGGCTAATATCTTGTTAGGTCTTTGATGCTTTATAAAAGATATTTCTCATATTTCATTTAACTATTTTAGTTGCCTTCAGCAGGAGGGTTAGTTCATGATTACTTGGCCTGCCATTAATGTACATGGTAGTTCCTTGCTTAGTATTTCTAATTAATTATTTTTATGACTTCTTGTTCCTTCATATTACTAATATTTTCTTTTATTTCTTTGCATATTTATTTTTGTATTTAGATTCTTAGTCTGTATGTTCCAGCAATTTTGCTTTATATAGTTTTTGCTTTTTAAATTTGTGGTTCTAATACTCAAGTATCTAGGTATTTTCATCTGTACACTTGCATTCTTGTCAAGGTTTTTAACTATTCTGCAAGAGAAGGGCCCAAAAGGCCAAGTCTTAATTTGTATGAATTTGGAAGGATGTATCTTCCAAAAATGGGCAGTAACTGCAAGAGGCTAGAAAAGTCATTAAAGTGGAATGCAGATCTTATCTTTGTAAAGGAGAGGGAAGGAGGGTAGAAAGGAGAGAAGGGAGGAAAGAAGAAAGGAGAATTTTAGTTTGCAGAGCAGTCCTAAGATCATTTGGCAAAGCTGATGGGGAATCTTCAAGTTAAAGTTGACAATCCAAGGAGTCCCTTATCTTATATGTCTACTTTAATATTTCTGCCATGGCGAGTCATTGATTGTAGCATCTCAAGACAAGTGTGATCTTAGTGAAAACATGGTGAGGATTCAGAGCATAGCAGCTGGGACTATCAGTCAGAGAGACACTTCTTATAGTAGGAGACATGAGAGGTGTATTCTCATGGCCATCCCAATCCCCAACTCAGTGACCTTTACTTTGAAATATCTTGAATTTGCTACTATGAGAATATTCATCATTCAACAGCTATATTGATAGCAAATTGCCTCTTTATTTCCTCTCTTCACTTGCTAATCTCTTTTAATTCCTCCCATCCTTCTGACTTGACTCACTTTCTTCATGTCTTTCTTTCTAGGTTATTTTTATATTTTAGGAAACTTTCATTCTTACTATAAGCCAGGAAATAGCAACTTTATTTTCAAAACCTTTCATTTTCTCTGGGTACCCTATATTAATTTATAAATATCTATGATAAGAGGAGCATCTTTAAATATGAAGGTTAACATACTATAGCTGATCCTTGAACAATGTGGGGGTTAGGGATGCCAAACCCCCTTCATGCAGCAAAAAAATCTGCATGTAATTTTTGACTTCCCTAAAACTTAACTACTAATAGCCTACTGTTGACTGGAAGCCTTACCAGTAACTTAAAATAGTCAATTACTACATATTTTATTGTTATAAGCATTACATACTGTATTCTTACAATAAGTAAGCTAGAAAAAATTAAATATTTTTTCAAATTGTCTCCAAAGCATTTTCCAGTTTATTTATTGAAAAAAGATCTGCATGTAAGTGGTGGACTTGTGTAATTCAAACCTGTGTTGTTCAAGGGTCAGTTGTAGTTCCCTTGGTAACCATAGTCTTGATATCTCATACACTGCTCTCAGAAGGTCCCTTTTATGAACTATTGCATCACCCACCTTTTGGCTGAACATATTCACCAGGTTACCAATTGGGAAAGTGGTGTTTAAGATGACCTGGCTACTTCTCTACTCCTGATTCTTACTTCTGTTTACTATACCATGCTTTCTGGATGCCTGTAAGTCTGATGGAATGTTAAATTTTTCCCTTCTTCAGCAAAACCCATAGCAGCATATTTGTAATTGTTAGCCTTTTCCTTGAGAATCAATTTGCCATTTTCCTGTTCCCAGCTGTTTTCTGTGTGTGTTCATAAGACTTGAAATTCTTTGTAATGTTTTTGACAACTTATAATTGAAATCATTAACCTTTTAGATGAGTTCCATTTCCTCAATTACTTACCTCCACCCTACCCATCTCCCTATCCTCAACCAACTCAATGTTCTATTTTCAAAACAATTTATTTTCAAACTCCAATTTAATGAAAATACTGTTCAAGAATTTTTAAGTGGTTCTCTGTTATTTTATAAATCAAATCCAAAATGTGAACTCCTTTAATAGGATTTCAAGGCTCTTTCAGGGCCTCTATGGCCTATCATTCATCATATTTTGATAATAAATGTAGGCACCATTTATTTAATGTTAGGCACTATTTTAAGTACTATACATGTATTATTGCATGTAATCTTCTTCATAACAAACATATGAGATACATACTTCTATTTGCACATTACATTAGGAAACTCCTAAAGTAACCTGCACATGACCAACTACCAGTAAGTGGTAGAGCAAGGATTTGAAGTAGGTCAGTTTTATCTGAGCTTAGTCACTATGAAGCCATATGTTTATCAAGCTTTATCTCTCATTACAGTATTCCAAAGATAGTCTTTTTAGCTTTGCTGATAAGCAAGTCTTATTTTTTCCTGAGGTAATGGCTTTATCATCCTTTCTGCCAAGGCACATTAATTACTTTTAAACCCTGCTCAAGACCCAGTTTCTCCACTATACCATTCCACACTGACCATTCTGTTAAGTTGAATTTCGTCTGTCCTTAAGTTTGTATATGTAAATATTATCATTAACTGGATTTTGTCCTCTAATCTAGCTATTTTGTATGAAGGTATCTCCCTAGTCAAATTGTAAGTTTTAGAAACTGTGTCTCCAAAGTTTTTGGTACATCTTTTGTATCTGATGCTGCTACAGGCACAGAATAGAAGTTAAAGAATTGTTTGTTAAACTGATGAAAAAGCAAGTTGTTTCAGCTGGTAGGATGAATGTTTATTTTTCCATCTTTACCCATAGAGGCAGGAAGATTGATGGCTTGGTATTATATAACATTTGAGACAGTGAAGAAATTTTGTACCATCAGTGGGAAAGAAACTCTATCAGATCTGGTAAGTTAATTTTCACTAGAAACTAAATATATAATGATATAAAATAATATTGTGGAAACAACTGATTTATATATATCATGTAATTTAACAATGAATGAGTAGAAAAGAAAGTGTATCTAATAGTGCTTATGTTTCTCCCCCTTATATACTTTTGATCATGAGATACAGAATATTACTCCTTAGAATATATTTTCAGTTGTGTCTCTGTATAAGGGCTAAGAAAATTTATATATGTACCCCAAGTAGAGATGGCAAGTATGTTTCAACTTACATGATAGTGCTGATTACCTTCGTAGTGACCACCAAATGTATTCTGTTGAGAAAAATTCCAAAATGGTGTGGCATGATCCATTAGGAAAGTTGGCTGTGAGTGAGGGAAAATGAGGGACACGTGTGCCATGTTCTTGCAGCTATTCCCTAAATCTTTTCCATCAGAGTAGCAGTAACAATAGAAATAGAAAAGCATTGGTGATAGATCAGTAAAAAAGATCTGTGGAGTAGAAAATGGGAGTAAAAACTTGTTCTAAGATAATCACCAATAGGGGCAATTTTGCAGCTACTACAGTGAATAGAACCATAGTCATGGTATTGGTACTTGGTAACTGCATTGATCCTTTCTACCTATACTGGGGACAGGAATATGCAATAAGATTTATATTTATTTTCCAATTTAAGCGATTCATTTTTATTTAAAATATCTAAGTTGATTATGATAAGGACAAAAATTGATGAAAAGTACCATGTATTATCATGTAAATGTTATATTTAACTAAGAAGAAATTAAGAGTAGAAAATCCCTAATGTTAACATTAATTCACTTGATTTTGAATTCAGTGTGTAAGAGAATTAGAACAGGTGTTAGTTTCAATTTGTAGATGTGCAAAACCAAGGCACAGAGAATGTTTTACTCAAAATCATTTGGCAGAACTTGTTTCTAGAATACAAATTTCTTAAGATATAAAGCATTTTTTCAATTATAAAATTTGCTTCAATAGGGATAATGACTTGCAAACTATAGAAAGTATCAATAGTAGTAGTAACAAGAGCTACATTTATTGAGTGCTTATGGTGTGGTAGCACTGGAGTGAATATTTAAAATTTTCCTTTGTTAATCTTTACAGTCTTATTGGTAGTCCCAGTGTGAAGTAAAATTCCTGGCATATAGCAAGTGTTTAAACATTTGTGAGTGAATAAATGAATGAATGAATTCTTAAAGAAGCAAAATGTATAAAGCAAATTTTTAACTCTATTATGCTAAATGATAAAACTGTGGTGCCCCAAGGCAACATGAAAAATAAATAAATAAGATAAAGAATTTAAGAAAATAAGTAAAGAACAGACATAATTAAATGAACAAATGCTGAAATTTTATAGGTCACGATGATAGCCAGCTGCAAGGAGTTTCTGGATGTGCAATTAAGGATAAACGAAAAGAAAACACTAAATACTTTAAACAAAGATCCAAATCGGATAACTATCAGGTACAGAAATTAAATGTGTTTTAAATAAATTTTAAAAGGTTTTAGTTAGTTAAAATAAGTAATAATAATAAAAGGTTTGCTTTATGTTTTTCACAGATTTCCAATGGAAGGAAAAATTAAAACAAGAGAAATGAAAGTTAACTGGTAAAGATAATTGTTAAATATCTTAAAATTATTTAAGTACATATTTAAATACTGTATGTTGATGATTTATGCTAATGAAGTTTTTTTAGTTTTAAAACATTTAAAATTTGTTTTACTTAATACAAAAAAAGAATACATTTACATAAAAATAAGGTGTCAGAATGCAGATGTGAAATTAATTTCCAAAAACTTTCAAACTTTAATTAAAATAGATGATTTGTAAATTTTTACCAACAAGCATTTATTGAGAGTGTGTTCTGATGAGGCAAGGTAGGCAATAAAAAGAAGGCAAACTTATCACCAGGAACTTTCAAGTTAACTTGAATGAGAACCATGTGTATAAAAACAATGGACAGTATGAAAACAGATGTAATAAGTGTCTAATGATAGTGGCATTCTGGGAGAGATAAATAGTAAAAGCAAAAACATGAATGAAGGAATGCATATATGACAGTGGGATTGCTATTCTGCCAAGAATGGGAAATTTATATAAAAGAGTAATAGTTAGAAGAGTAAATTAAGGTTACATTATAACTTGTGACTTTTCCCAGTGTGCAGTAAGAAATACAGAATTCTTTTTTGCTATGCCAAGTGATTGGTTTTCTGAGTAGAGTTGACCCTTGATCAACATGTGTTACAACTGGATGGGTCTACTTATATGCATATATTTTTCAGTAAATATTTTAGAAAATGTTTCAGTGATTTGCAATAATTCAAAAAAACATTATTATAAGAATACAGTATGTAATACATGTAACAACAAATATGTGTTAATTGACTAGTTATGCTAAGGCTTCCCATCAACAGTAGGCTGTTAGCAGTTTAAATTTTGGGGGAGTCTAAAGTTACACATGGATTTTGGATTGAACAAAGGGTCGGTACACCTAGCCCTTGCATTGTTCAAGGGCCAATTGCATTTGGGTCTTAGTGTTAAACCTTTTGATTTAGTTGGTGCAATTTCAGGTAAAAATTATTTTTTTATGTGGTTCAATAAAACTAAGTAGCCAAAAAATTTCTTTTTACTCCTCACTAGAGGAGGTCACTGTAGTGACAACTCATTGAATTTAATCTGAAGTCTCAGAAATAAATTTCTCATAGGTGTATACAACTCAACAGGAAGACCATCATGACTTGGACAACAGAAGTTAATGTCAGTTTCTTAGCTGTATTTCTCCAGAAATTCAAATATCCTTAAGAGAGAATAGATAACTTAGAGGTTGAATAACCCAATCCTCTCATTTTACAAATGAAGTTAGTGATGCCTAGATAAGTTGTGACTTGCCTAATAGGGGACTGAGCTAGAACTAGAATCTAGATCTGTTGATTCTTTCAATGTTTTTTCCAGTATACTTTGTTGCATCAAATATTAAGTCAAATTAAATCAAGGTACTTTTCCACAAGCAACTTCTTGGAAATGCTCTATTTGCAGTTTTAATGCTGCCATTTACATTGACTTAAATTGGGTCACACATGTTTTTGATTGGGGATGTCAGATTTTAAAAGTTAATGCTTTACAATTGTTTTTATACATATCATAATTTAGATTCTCATTATAATTTCCCACCTTTATGCACCTACTTGAGCATGGCCTGGAAGAGAGAATGTGGTGGGGTCTTTTCTTAATCCAAAATGCACAGCCCTTTTTGTGTAATGATGGCTAGTAGTCACCAATTTCATGTCTCCCTCATATCCCTGTTACTTTACTGAATTTCAGATTTGTTCTTTTTTCAAGCAGGTGTCAGTCCTCTTAATTTTAAAGTTTTATCTTTCAAGTTTCTGCCCTTTAATTTAGAGCTATTTTTATTTTTCATAACTTTAATTCCCAGGTCTTTTATCTTCAGTTCTAGCTCTCTTTTCTTTAATATTTTCCAATGAACTCATGGGATATATTTTCAAATCTGAGTTCTTATTAATTATTTTCTTATTATATAAATAAGGCATGGGTTCATTTTTAGGATCAAAATAAAACTTTCAAAGCAAAAAGTACAGTCTCCCTTGACCTTCTATCTTTGTCCCCTGGAAGCATCTGTTAATAGTAGTTCATTGTTTATCCTTCCAATTTCCTTTCTATTATTTGGTACATATGTGTGCCTATTAACATATGTAATTTATACTATATAAACAAGGTCATACTATAATTATTTTTCTTGTGCTTTGTCATGAAAATTCTGTATTGTTATATATACATCTATATCATTTATTTTTATAGCAATGTATGTTTTAATAACAATGTATTTGGTAGTATAAATATATTGTAGCTTTTAGCCATTCCTTTCTTGATGAAGGGTTAGTTTATAATGTTTTGCTATTACAATAGTGATGAAATGAACTTTCTTATATTTAAACCATATTTTTCAAGGATTTCTGGACGAAAGGGTATATACATGAAAAGATTTAGTATATAATGCCACATTGCCTTTGAAAAGGCTTCTCTGGTTTACAATTCCCACCCACAGTGTAAGAAGAGTATTTCCACATATAATCCCCAAAAATTGTTTGGTATCTTTGAACTTCTGTCAAGCTAGTGGGTGAAAAGTTATATTTTGCAGTTTGCAAATCCTTAATTATTAGGAGGCATATACATCTTATTTGGCTTTCTACTGAAGTATAAAATCATACATTAGTTTTTTTCCTTATGACTTACAGTTTTTGTGTCTTGTTAGAAAGGTCTCTCCTATCTAGTCTGTGTTTCTTATGATTAGGCTCAACTATGTAAAATAGTAATAAAATGAATTAACAATAGCTTAAACAATATAGGCTACTTTTCTCTCACAGAATAGACAACTCTAAGTAGTAATCTGAGGTAGAAATGGTAGGTTTATGGTGTCATCAGTATTTGGATCCCTGTCTTTCTGTTTTGCTACCTCACCCATTTCAAGGTCACTTCATAGTCCAAAATGACTGCTAGGGCTTCAACCATTACATTTGAATATCCTTTCCTTTCAATAGACTTCTTGGAAGTCCCAGATAACACTTTTGCTCACTGGCTAGAACTTGGACTTGATGAAAGTCCTAGATAACAATTTTGTACCTAGTTATACGGCTACACATAAGTGCAAAGGAGTCTGGTAAATATCTTAGTGATAATGTGTTTAGAATAAAATTGAGATCTGCTATTAAGAAGGAATGAGAGGATGGGAGGAGCCAAGATGGTTGCATGAGTAGGGCAGTGGAAATCTCCTCTCAAAACCATATATATTTTTGAAAATACAACAAATACAACTATTCCTAAAAGAGAGACCAGAAGATACAGTACAACAGCCAGGCTACATCTACATCTGTGAGAACTCAGCGCCTCACAAAGGGGGTAAGATACAAGCTGCAGCCCGGCGGGAAGTGAGCATGTCCCCTACCACAGCTCCATGGCAGTAGGAGAGGAGTTGGAGCTGGGAGGGAGAGGGAGCCCAGGACTGCTAAATACCCAGCCCTAGTCATCCGCACTGGGAGTGCAGACACACAGTGCACGGTGTGCTGGATATTAGGGAAACGTAACAGTAAAACCTGCGAGTGGGTCACCACAGCCGGCGCCCTGGGACAAAAGAAAAGCAAGTGCATTTTGAAAGTCTTAAAGGGACAGGGGCCTCACTACTAGACAGAAGCGTCCCAGCACACTCAGGGCAGCAGCTGGGAATCCTGGGGAACACCAGGCGCCCTAAGCCACTGGGAGGCAGCACAGCTCTGAGGCCCCCCATGGCAATAAACAGCCTCCCATCCATTCCCCATCCAGTGTGACCCCACCATAACAGGGGAGCAGCCTGACTGGCCACGCCCACAGCAGCTGCGCAGAGCCTCCTCCACAGCCGCCCGGACTGGACTCAGAGGCTCCTCAGAGGTTTGCATGCAGCTGCTCAGCACAAGCTGCTAAGGGTCGCCATCTTTGCAGGAGAGGAAGGTGACCAACAAGCAAGAAGGGACTTTGTTCTTCCAGCTGACAAACTTGCCAACTATGCAGGACTAACTCTATTACCATGAAAAGGCAGAAAATTTTGATTCAGACAAAAATAACACAGACAACCCCCGAGAAGGAGCCTGAGGAGATAGATTTATCCAATCTTCCTGAAAAAGAATTCAAAATAAAGGTCATAACCATGCTGATGGAGCTGCAGAGAAATATGCAAGAGCTAACAGATAAAGTTGGGAGAGAGAATACAGAAATAAAACAATCTCTGGAAGGACTTAAGAGCAGAATGGATGAAATGCAAGAGGCCATTAATGAAATAGAAATTAGAGAACAGGAACACAGATAAGCTGAAGCAGAGAAAGATAAAAGGATCTCTAGGATTGAAAGAATATTAAGAGAATTGTGTGACCAATCCAAACAGAACAATATCTGCATTATAGGGGTACCAGAAGACGAAGAGAGAGAAAAAGGGATAGAAAGTGTATTTGAAGAAATAATTGCTGGAAACTTCCCCAAACTGAGGGAGGAAATAGTCTCTCAGACCATGGAAGACCACAGAACTCCCAACAGAAGGGACCCAAGGAGGACAACACCAAGACACATAATAATTTAAATGGCAAAGATCAAGGAGAAGGACAGAGTATTAAAGGCAGCCAGAGAGAGAAAAAAGGTCACCTAGAAAGGAAAACCCATCAGGCTATCATCAGACTTCTCAACAGAAACCTTATAGGCCAGAAGAGGATGGCTTCATATATTCAATGCAATGAAATGGAAGTGCCTTGAACCAAGGATACTATATCCAGCACGATTATTATTTAAATATGAAGGAGGGATTAAACAATTCCCAGAAAAGCAAAAGTTGAGAGAATTTGCCTCCCAAAAACCACCTCTACAGAGTATTTTAGAGGGACTGATCTAGATGGAAGCACTCGTAAGGCTAAACAGATGTCACCAGAGAAAATAAAATCACAGCAAAGAAAGCAGACCAACCAAATACTAACTAAAGGCAAAAAATAAAATCAACTACCCCCAAAAGCAGTCAAAGGAAACACAAAAGAGTACTGAATAAAACACCCAACATATAAAGAATGGAGGAGGA